TAGAATAGAATAGAATAGAATAGAATAGAATAGAATAGAATAGAATAATGAAGGAATGGAATGGAATGGAATGGAATGGAATGGAATGGAATAGAATAGAATAGAATAGAATAGAATAGAATAGAATAGAATAGAATAGAATAGAATAGAATAGAATAGAATAGAATAATAGAGCTGGAAGGGACCTTGGAGGTCTTCTGGTCCAACCCACTGCTTAGGCAGGGAACCCTATAGCATTTCAGACAAATGGTTGTCCAATCTCTTCTTTAAAACTTCCAGTGTTGGAGCATTTACAATTTCTGGAGACAAGCAGTTCCGCTGATTAACTGTTCTAACTGTCAGGAAATTTCTCCTTAGTTCTAGGTTGCTTCTCTCCTTGATTAGTTTCCAGCTGTTGTTTTTTTGTCCTGCCTTCAGGTGCTTTGGAGAATAGTTTGACTCCCTCTTCTTTGTGGCAATGCTAAAAGGACTTCCCAAACCTTGAGAACACAGTCAACGACTTTAAATATATGACTTTAAAGATATATTCTCATTTAAAATAACAAAACAAAAGTGCCAAACCCAAGTCATATGTGAATATCCATGCAAAAGAAAAACTCCAAAATCAAACAGTGAGGCTTTTGATGCTTTCTGAGTCTGGGGGTTTTTCTTGCAGATGTTTCATTAACAAACTAGGGAATGAAGGGCACTGATGAGGTTACCTAGTTGGGTCATGAAACGTCTGCAAGAAAACCACCAAGCTCAGCAAGCACCAAGGATTCTACAGTTCAATCCTGAGTTACAAATACCCTCTAAAATCACAGAACAGGTTACCTAGAATGAAAATGAGGATCAATGTATTGATGTATCGAATATTTTGATAAGAATGGCATGCGGGCAACCATTGTCTTGTTGGAGCAGAAATAAATATGGCCTAAAGCTGAATTTATTTTTCTCATTTGGAGGAAGTTTAGTGGGTTAAACTGTAAAATGGGTACAGCAAGGCTTGTAGGTATCAAGCATTTTGCAGTTAATATAGAAACTGTTTTTTAAAGAGAAAGACATGGGAATAATACAAGATAATTTTATATATGAACTGTTCATAGTGAGCCTCCCAGAATTGGAAGGAAGGAAGGAAGGAAGGAAGGAAGGAAGGAAGGAAGGAAGGAAGGAAGGAAGGAAGGAAGGAAGGAAGGAAGGAAGGAAGGAAGGAAGGAGAGAGAGAAAGAGAGAAAGGGGGAGGGAGGGAAAGAGGGAGAAGGAAGGAAGGAGAAAGAAAGAGGGAGGAAGGGAGAAGGAATAGAGAAGGAAGGAAGGAAGGAGAGAGA